GCTAATGCCTTTACTTCTTTGTTTGCAGAACTAGAGATGTCTTTTGACTCATCCAGCTTGCTTGCGACTATGCACCACAAGGCTAAAAAGCCCAAGCCTAAGCCCTAACCTCAGGGCAAAGGGAAGAAGAGGGTGAGAGAGGTCGCGCCTATCGTTCTCCCGAGTATGGTGGGCTAGACCTTGACGTCAAAGAGCTCGACCCCAACCCCTCAGCCTGCGCAAAAAACACAAGCTCGGGCTTCTACACCTCAGGCCCCGAATGCGACCGATGATTACCTCAAGCCTATTTCCACGAGCACGCTCAAAGATTATTCTAAGTGTGCATTAATAAAGGAGCTCGTTGACAAGTATGAGAAGAATGTTGTCCTTCATGAAGGCCCTTGAAATTTTAACTTTGTGGGTACGAACTTGATCTGTCCTTATCCTTTGTTTGTGATCTTTTGTACTCGAACTAATATCTTCCTAATTCTTTTATGCAGTCCTTAAGCGTGGCCAGGGGCCTGACCCTGAACGATCTTAATATTTCTGAAAGGTTTGAAGAGCTCGAGGGTGAAAAAGAGCATACAAAGAAACAGGCCCTCGAGCTAGAGGCTGCTCTCGAGGTTATAAGGGCAGATATCCGAAGGGCGCGATAGGAGACCGGAGTAGCTAAGGACGAGGTGGAGGAAGTGAAGCTCGAGCTTTTTTAGTTGCAAAAGAACTTCGAGAATGAGATGGTGAAGGTTCGAGAAGAGACTCGGGCTCAAGCAATCGAGGACTTTAAAAAATCAGATGAGTTCAAGACCTTGCTTGGCCAGTATGAGTCGGGGTCCTACCACTATGGGCTAAGGCTTGCTCGATCGTACCTCAGAACCAAACTCTCAGAGAATCTGAAGCACGTAGCCGAGGATTCGAAGACAGTGAATGAGCTCGTGGGCGAGCTCGAGCTTTCAGCTTCAGAGGTTGACGATGATGATGATGATGGTGGTGGGGATGGTGACGAGGTCGGGACTGGTGATCAAGACGATGTCAAGATTGTTGACATAGATTAGGTTCCTCCGACCCCAAGATTTGAATTTTTGTTCGTGAAATGTTATACATTGCCCGATGTGGCCTATTGCTTCTTTTGATTTCTTAATGCTAAGTATATTGCTCGAACTGGGCTTTTTGTTATCAGTTCATGCGTTTTATTTTTTGCTATGAGATCGTGCGCGGATTTTGTGTTCGTGTGTAAACACCATGATTTTGAATTCGAGCTATTACAATTGTTAAGAGTTCGATCGTTAATATAGATCGCGTGTCGCAACCAACTAGCTTGAATGTTGACGTCCATAGCCCGAGTGTATGTAAGAGTTTGCATACCTTAACAATACTGATCGTTAACACTATGGATAGATCGATCCTTTTACTTTAAAAATTGGGTGTTAACTTCTAAGTTCGAGGGTGTTTTATTATGTTTAGGGTCAACTAGTTCATGTACTAGTGTTGGGTGCTGATTTTTTAATTTGTTTATATCGAGGGACGACCAATGAGTCGCTAATGAATTAAAGGAAAGGTCGGGTCCCTTGTAATTTAAGCATTGTTCCTTTGAGGAAATGGTCGGGTGTGGTTGCATGAGGGACAGTTATATAATGCCCCGATCTCGATCTCAGAATTCGTTCTTGGGTAAGCATTTTGGGATCGATAAGGTCGGGGCCTTTATGCCCGACCTGTTGCCACTTGAGTTCATGTGTTTGGTTCTATTGGTCGAGTGTTAGCTGCATGCACGGAGCATGGCCTTAGGCTAATTTTGTAAAGGTATTAGCTGCATGAGCGGAGCACGGCCTTACGCTAATTTTGTAAAGGTATTAGCTGCATGGGCGGAGTACGACCTTACGCTAATTTTGTAAAGATATTAGCTGCATGCGCGGAGTACGGCCTTACGCTAATTTGGTTAATAGGAAAGCAATATCATAAAAAAAAATTTCGTGTATTATTAGAAGGGCTCAAGGGCGTTAACACCCTAGCTTATTCGAACATGAGCTGTCAGGGCATTAGAGCCCAAAAAGTAAAAACGAAATTAAGCAAACATAAAGTGGGCATGCAAGCTTTAAAAGGGAAAAATTATAGCTACAGCTAGTTACTTGTAATAAATTTTCAGATTATCATCGTTCCATGGCCTTGGAAGCGGGTTCCCTGATGTGTCTCTGAGGCTATAGACTCCACCTTTAAGTTTTCTTATGACCTCGAAGGGTCCTTCCCATGTCGGTCCGAGCTTTCCTGGTTGGTGTCCGACGGCTTCTGCTTTTCTAAGGACAAGATCTCCAGTTCTGAACCTTCTCCTCTGGACCTTGCTGTTGAAGTGTTTTGCAATTCTATTTTGATAACTTGCAGCTCTAAGTGAGGCTTGCTCCCTTACCTCTTCAAGCACGTCAAGGTGCTCAGTAGTTTGTCTCTTCCTATTCATCTCGAGCTTTCTTATTGTGGAGAGGCTAACCTCGATTGGGATGGTAGCCTCAAGTCCAAAAGCAAGCATGAAGGGCGTTTCACCAGTTGCTGTTTTGTGCGAAGTCCTGTATGCTCATAGTATAGAAGATAGTTCATCAGGCCAGTCACCTTTGGCATCTCCTATCCTTGTTCGAAGGCTCTGCAATATGATCCGATTAGTTACTTCGACGAGCCCATTACTTTGTGGGTGTGATACCGAGGTCAAGCGATGATCAATCCCATTGTTGGCACAGAAGCTCCTAAACTGAGGATTATCGAATTGCCTTTCGTTGTCTGTGATGAGGACTTTCGGTATCCCAAACCTGCATATGATGGACTTTCATATGAATGAACTGAGCTTCGGCTCCGAAATTGTTGCTAGTGGTTTAGCTTCTACCCACTTTGTGAAATACTCCACAGCCACAGCCACAGCCACAGCCACAAATTTTAATTATCCTTGGGCCAAGGGAAATGGCCCAAGAATATCAACTCCCCACTGCTCGAAAGGAGCTGAGTAGTGAATGGATGTTAGTTCCTCAGCAGGAGCATGTATGACGTGGCCAAACTTTTAGCACTTGACACACTTCCGAACGTAATCTGTGGCATCTTTCTTCAAACTTGGCCAGTAGTATCCATACTTTATCAACTTATATGCAAGAGCTCAGGCTCCCTGGTGATTTCCACAAATGCCTTCATGAACTTCAGCCATGGCTTGAAGAGACTCGGAAGGTTTGAGACATCTTAGATAGGGGAGTGTGAAACTCCTGCGGAACAGGACTCTTTCGATTATACAATATCTAGCAGCTCTATACCGAATGCTTCTGGCAAGTCGAGGGTCTGCAGGTAGGTTGCCATTACTTATGTAATCAGTTATTGGATCCATCCAGGAGGGCTCGTGATCGATGTCCATGACACTTGGCTTTTGAGCTATGCTGGGTTCTGCAACCATCTTGATGTGGACGGTTCTATCGAGTCCATCCACACCCATGAAGACGAGTCTGGATAATGCATCAGCTTTGGCATTATCGGCTCTACCTACCTTCAGAATTTCACAACTTACGAACTGCCTCTGGAGGTCATGTACTTTCAAACAGTATAAGCTCATCTTCTCATCTTTTCTTTCGAAAGACCCCTCGATTTGCTCGACAACTAGCTATGAGTCATTGAAAACTTTGACATGCTCAAACTCAAGATTTTTCGTAAGTTCCAGGGCTATGACAACGACTTCATACTCTACTTCGTTATTGGTAGCCTCGAATTCAAATCTGAGAGCACACTGTATCTCCGAAGTCTTGTCTGGACTTGTGATGATGATGCCGACCCTTGATCCCGAGCTATTGGATGCTCCATCAATAAAGATCTCCCATGTTTTCAAGGTCGTGGTCAGGCCCTTAGCCTGTGTTTCTGAGGATCTCGGAGTAAGCTCTGCTATGAAGTCGGCCAAAGCTTGGGCCTTGATTGCAGGTCGTGGCTTGAACTCAATATCAAATTCGTCGAGTTCAATTGCCCATTTCAACAGTCTTCCTGAAACGTCCGGCTTCTAGAGTATGTGTCTAAGAGGTTGGTTAGTGAGCACAACAATTGGATGTGACTGAAAGTACGGCCGTAATTTTCTGGCAGCTATTACCAAAGCAAGGGCGAGTTGTTCTGCAAGCGTGTATCGTATTTTTGCATCGAGAAGCACTTTAGTTACATAGTAAACAAGTTGTTGAACTCTTTTTTTTTCCTTTACCAAGACACCACTTACTGCATTCTCAGAAACGGCCAAGTATAATAGCAGCGTGTCACCGAGTTCGGGTTTTGTAAGGACTGGGGGTGTTGATAATGTCTGCTTGAGCTTTTGAAAAGCTAAATTGCATTCCTCATTCCAGTCGAACCCTTTATTTTCCCTAAGTAGTTTGAAAAAGAGGAAACACTTGTCCGCTGCTTGGGAAACAAACATGTTCAGTGCTGCTACGCGACCTGTCAACTTCTGAATATCCCTTTTGCACTTAGGGGCCTCCATGCTTATCAGAGCTTGGATTTTATCAGGATTTGCCTCTATTCCTCTGTACGTGATCATAAAACCCAAGAATTTTCCAAATGCCACCCAAACTCACACTTTGCAGGGTTGAGCTTCATGTTGTACCTCCGTAACGTAGCAAATACTTCCTCTAGATCAGAAACATGACTATTCAGTTTTTTGCTCTTAACCACCATATCATCCACATATGCTTCGACTGTTTTGATTACCAGGTGGCAGTACCTCTGGACTTTAATTACCAGTTTTGATTTTGAGGATAACATTTCGAATGAAAGCGATCATGCTTGCATAGCACATTTCGTGTTAACTAGTTGCTCCTCAAAACTGATTAATAGGTTCTCTTTGGCTACGAATAGTTATGTTTGTGATCAGTGCATTGATGCATGCGTGAGTGAACTGATTAGGTGCAAAGCTCATGAACTTAGACTGGAGGGATCACTTGCTACTCACAGTATCTTCACATGCAAAACCTTGACTGCTTTGGACCTCAAGTCTAATATTATACTATTAGATACAGAGGATATTCCTCCTTTTGATCTTCCAAATCTGAAAAAACTTCGTACTCATCTTTTCTATCCTTCAAGTGACCTCTCAGAAAAGCTTTTCTCTAGTTGTCCAGTACTAGAGGATTTAACGATAGAGGGAACTGTAAGAAGTGAAACTAAATTCAATCTTTCCTGTCCACTTTTGAAGAGAATGAAGATACAGTTACAAGCATGGGATTTCGAGGGGCTGAAATATAAATTTGTAATCAATGCCCCGAACCTCAAATACCTGGAGCTTATTGATATGTTTAAAGCAGAATATGTTGTGGACAATCTGACATCTGTGGTTGAAGCAAAACTGAAAATGAGACAGGGGGCTGCAGATGAAATATTTGGCAACCTTGCAGCTGAGCTTCTCTGGGCTTTTCGCAACTTGCAATCCTTATCGATGAACGAAGATTGCTTTGCTGTAAGACTCATTTCTTTTCTCATATCTCTTCTATTCTTTCCTATATATGTCCAATGTTCATATGTTCTTCCATGTATTATTTAATTAGCATGATTTCGGCCTTACATTTTATATAATCGTTAGTAATTTTAAACCAATGAAATCCATGTTACTACAGTCATTACTGCTCTGGGCTCTCTCTTTCTTTTTGAAGGTACTTAATGATCCTGGACGAGGTGAGCTACCTACTTTCAACGATATGAAACGCCTGGAGCTGTTTTTTAATGATCACTGTGATCAGGAAATGATAGCTCCTCTCATAAATGTATGCCCAAATCTAGAATATATCTCATATTATTGAGGTGGAGTAGTTATGAAAAGTTATAGCTATTTTCATTTGAAGTTTTGGAAAGTTTTAATATTTCTTTTAACATGTCTCAAGTAAGCGAGTCTTCCAGGTTATGTTGCTGAACAATCCAGTCTGCTGGGACGTTTTTAACCGAAATCAACTGGGATGTTCATAACAAACATAACCAGAAATAGTGTGGGAATTCTTGTATCCCTAGTTGAAGATATTGAGCTGGATGGGTTAAATGGGAACACATATGAAATGGAAATTGTGATGATGTCAATAAATGTTGCTTGTATTTAAGAACATCAATGACTTTCCTTATGCTTAGTTCAAATTCAGGTGCTGCTTGTTTTCTATGGTAAAAGCATACACTGGGGATACTGGTTTTTATAGATAGTTAACAGTGTGGTCATTTAAAAAAGGGATTTTATTTTATTTTTCTTACATTCTATATTATGCATAGATGTGTGAAATGATACCGGCAAATTTCTTCAGTGAATTGTCTCCTGTAACTTAAGTTTGATATAGTTATGCTTTTACTTTGGATTGAGTGTTGAACACACACACACACATATTACCATCATGTGTTAAAGTTTCTCTTTTCAAATTTGGTACAATTGTACTTCCACTCTAAATGGAGCGGTGTATATGTAAGGTTGGCATTGGGTAAATAGTTGCTTGCTTTTGCATCATATATGGGCAATAAATGCATCATATGCATTAGCAAACCATGTTGCATGTTGTGCATTTTATGCAAATTTCTTTGATTAATATTGTTGTTTCTTGCTCCGGTCATGTCTTTATGCCAAAATGCATGTGACTTGCTCTGATGCACAGACTCTTTAGAATGGTTGAAGTATTTGTGTTGGACACGACACGGGTACGAATATAGGCTGCGTGTCAAATCTTCCAAATTTCAACCGGACACTTCACCATTTTTGTTTCTTTTTCTTTCTTTTCTCTGTCTTCTCCCCCCCCCCCCCCCCCCCCCCCCCCCCCCCCTTTTTTCCTCCTTTCCCTTTCTGTATTGGTGGCTTAGGGCTTGTTTGCATAAAATAAAAATAGGCTTCATATAGTGTTACTTACTGCTCTATTAAGTCTAAATTACAATCTAGTCCATTATTTTCTATTTTATATAATGCTTAGTAATTAACTTCCTATAATTGAAAATTAAGCCTCAAAATTCTATTTTGTTCGTCTTAACCTTTTATTCAATACTCATTTCCTTCTTTGTGAACAATTGATTTTGATCTATTCAAATTGACATCTTGGGTTAGTAAAAAAATTGAAACTTGAAAGATGTACTCACGTATTCGTTTTCGAAATTTGGAATTTTTTTAGCCGAAATATCTCAATGTCCTATATTTTAGAAAATAAAAGATCCGACACTTAAGATGCATAACCGTACCCAAGTCCAAACATCATAGGTAACTTGAATCTACGAAATTCATCGTTTTAGATGATAAGCCAGGGAATTAAGTTTTATGCTAAGATGTAGGGATTGAAATGTAGTTTGTGACATTTTTACAGATTTACATTAATATCTCCTATAAAGGAGGATAGATATCCATGATGATAGAACTGAACAGCACCATAAATTTAATGCTCCATAAACTTAATGCTGCCAACAATTTTTTTTTTCCGTTATGAACTAAACATAGATAGAGCGTATATTTTGACACACAAAGTTCTCTTATTGCCACTGACTTCAACATTTCAGTCGCTTAATTTTTTAGACCCAAAGTTGCTTAGCAGCTTAAGTTTTTGGTAACTTGGCGCTGAAAATTTCATATATTTACCATTTGATAAATTATATAAATGAAGAAAAGATAAGTTGGCTCGTTTTGGCTAATGTAACTCGACAAGTGAAATGTCAATGGTGACAACTAAGCTACAGCTAATCATTTATCTTGATCAGAAGGGAAAAGTTATATAATTGTAAAGCATTGTTGAAAGGTGTTACAGTTGTATTAGGTTGGCTATTGGTATGTACCTTTTGCAAACAATGGTCCACTGCTATTGGTATGTACCTTTTGCAAACAATTATCATTTCTCTTGGGTTTCTTATGTTTATTCAATAAAGTTACTGTCTATTTTTAACTTTATTATAACTGCAAAACAGCATTTTTCATGTTTGGTATTTATTCAACCAAGGTCCAATTTATGGCTCTGTTGTGGAGGAAAACTTTATACAAAATCTTATAATGCAATTTCACTGGTTTGACCATATGTGTGTAATCTGTCATGCAATCCATGTTTGGATTATTACAATTTATCTTCCTTACATTGATGATTTATTTATATACTATAGATGAAATCGCAGCCTGATGGGTGATTGCAATTGCTTTCTTATCTTCGAAGCCAGTAAATTAAATGCCACCATCATATTTAATGTTTCTCATTTATTACAGTTTGATATAACCCACACCGTTGACAATTTACTAGTTCTAGCGCATGTCTGATAAGTAATTATAAGATGTGGGCCCTTGGGATAAAAATAATGTTTGACCAGAAGTGATTAAATTATAATCACTTTCCAAACATGCAGTATCCACGAACATTTTACAATTGATCCGTGAAAATAAAGTATTTCTCTGAACTTTACTAATGCAGAATTAACACTAGGGTCGTTGCTATGAGATCTGAATTGAACTGATTTAAATTGAAATCTTCATGAAAAAATATCGATCTCCCCTGTTTTATCTGTTCTGAAAAGTATCTTTTGATATGAAAGCCCAATCATTAATTGCTTGATATTTATGAGAGAGTAATTGTTTGCTGTGATTTGCAGTGAGTGGATGATATCTGGAGGAATGAAGGTGGTAATTACCGATCTTATATTTTTGAGAATGGTAGCCTGTAAAGTCAAAATCAATGAGATGGTGCTGAATATATTTTGATTTAAAGTCAAAATCAGTGTAATGACACCATGAATTGAAAGCTCGAAGTTGTGACCCTGAAAATTTTATAACATTTGATTTGGTCCTGGTCTTGGCCTACTTCATTTGGTAAGTACATGATCAGTATTTTTCCCCCCCCCCTCATTTTTGGTATTATCCATGTTCTTGTTCAACCATGGGTAAATTAAGACATGCTATGCTTCTGCAAGTATTTCACAGCTTCTAGCAGTCTGGATTAAGTTCATATTTGATACTTCTGTATAATATGTTGTCTGTCGTACTGAGGTGCCGAATTTTTATCCAGTTGAGGCTCTTAAGATGTTTAGAGCTCTGTAGTGGAGGAAATCTATATAAAAATTAATTATTCTTATATCAGTTGTACTCTTTTAGTGTGTTAACTTGGTTGATGTGATGGAAACCTATAAATTTCCTTTCTAACATCAAAAATAATTTAAAATTTTCCAATTTTATTTTGTCTTAGTTTAGGATTTTGTTTGGACAAGATTAGATAGGCTTCCGCAGTTTGTTAAGCTTGTGATGCTAGATGTCTCTTTGAATTTAATCTTAAAATCTATTTAAGGCAGCAGATGATAATGATCACAAGTACATGTATATGGAAAATTTTCCTCCTAGGTAAATTATTCTCCTCTTCTTCCATTTCCTTTTCGTCTCTCACTCTTCCCCCCTCTGTCTCTCCCTCTCCCTCTCCCTCTCTCTCTTCCTCCCTATATGCTGTAAGTCACGATATTTCTCAACTTAAGGGAGTATTGGGAAGCAGCTGGGAAAAAAATCAGTGTACTAGTGTACCTCCCAAAACTGTTTTATCTTGGGTTAGAACTGAGATTCCTGGATTTGTGTGGTAAAAGGTGAGCTTTTCACTACATGGGATTTTCTCTGCCAAGTATATATACATGTCGATATATAGTTTGGTCGAATGAAAGTTTAAACAAGCTTTGAAGCAACTCCGAATGGATGAAACTTGCAAATTTTTTTTATAGATTTTACAGATCTACTCAGGATTGGCGGTTCACTCTTGCCTTTATTATGAGCTGCTTACAATATTATCAGAAGAAAATGAATGAAATGGAGATTTTGCATGTTCATGTGATGAGTGGTGGCATGACTTAGTGATTAAAGCTTAGGGACTTTTTCATGACTTTTTTATTTGGGACTCTTTTGAACTTTTTTTAAAAATAGGTACTATGATTGCAATTAGATCTTTATTTTAGTTTTTTTTTAAATTTAAATAAAAGGGCATATTAGTCATTTTATAGCTTTTTATTGAGAAATAATGAAAATGATGTTTTGCACTAGAAAAGGTAAAAGTAGGGATGAAATGCACCAAAAAACGAAAGGTAGAGACATTTTTCACAAAAATCATAAAAAGTAGGGACGTTTTGTGCTTATTATCATTTTTCACAATAAGCTTAAAATGTAGGGACATTTCGCCGGGGTACTTTTAAGTATAGCTTTGTCAAACCAACCATTTTCCATTTTAACCATAAAAATCTAACATTCACCACAATAGCCATTTCTTGTGTAAAAGACTAAAACGCCCTTAAATGAGTTATATAATTACAAAAATAGAAATATGGTAAAAAGACAAAAATATCCTTAAGTTACAAATAAAAATCCAAACAAGGCTCAATTGAAATTTGAAAACGAAGTCAGTCTTTTCATCAGTTTTACTCTAACACGATAAAAACTCTTCCATTTTTCATCCACTTCAACCTCAAAATTTCATAAACTTATCAGTTATCAACCTCAACAGAAAAATTTAGTTAAATTTCAGCACTTCAATTCGGTAAGTATCTTTTCGTAGTATTTAATTTTATTTTTATTGAAGTCGTATATTTTTTTTAAATGGTAGAAAAAATAATATTAGAGTCAAAGTTCAGGCCGGCACCGATCAGACGTCGGAACGACGGATTTAACGACGGTCCG